GTGCAGCTCATTTGCAGTGTGCAGCTCATTTGCAGTGTGCAGCTCATTTGCAGTGTGCAGCTCATTTGCAGTGTGCAGCTCATTTGCAGTGTGCAGCTCATTTGCAGTGTGCAGCGCATTTGCAGTGTGCAGCTCATTTGCAGTGTGCAGCTCATTTGCAGTGTGCAGCTCATTTGCAGTGTGCAGCTCATTTGCAGTGTGCAGCGCATTTGCAGTGTGCAGCTCATTTGCAGTGTGCAGCTCATTTGCAGTGTGCAGCTCATTTGCAGTGTGCAGCTCATTTGCAGTGTGCAGCTCATTTGCAGTGTGCAGCGCATTTGCAGTGTGCAGCTCATTTGCAGTGTGCAGCGCATTTGCAGTGTGCAGCTCATTTGCAGTGTGCAGCTCATTTGCAGTGTGCAGCTCATTTGCAGTGTGCAGCTCATTTACAGTGTGCAGCTCATTTGCAGTGTGCAGCTCATTTGCAGTGTGCAGCTCATTTGCAGTGTGCGACAGCTCATTTCAGCACCAGCGTAACTTTCTAAAGGTGCTCCCAAAACCACCTGAATAAAAAACGTTGGTGCTGAAACGAGCCAGAAAACGCTGCACATCTGAGTCTGGTCTGGATGTGGCTGTGGTGGATCAGCAGTGATCCTACCCACTCACGCCAGCCCCTATGTGTTCCTTACGAGGAGTCCGAATGCAGCACATACCTGAGTCTGAATGCGGCCGTGGTGAATGAGAGTGCGTGCATCCGCTGTGAGACCACTCATGGCTGCTCCGATGTGTGAATCCACCTCCATTATCTTCTCCACACTGCGCGGCTCCTGTATGGTCCCACCGCACAGCACCGCATAGCACCACAGAGAGCCACACAGCAACACACAACACCACACAGCACCACACAGCACCGAACAGCACACGCACACAAGGGAGGGCAGATAGGCAGTGAGAACAGATGGGCAGTGAATTCGATCAATGTGTGAATTCATCTCCGTGGTCGTCTCCGCACTACGAGGCTCCTACATAGCCCCACCGCACAGCACCGTACACCATCGCACACCACCACAGCACATGCATGCAAGTGAGTGAGAACAGCACACATGGGAGGTGAGACCACTCCACTGCTACCCCCACTCCCTTTCCCACCACTCTCTCTCAACATCACTCCCTTCCTCCCCCATCCCTCCCTCTAAATGATCGATGTCGCACCACTCGAACTTGCTGCACAGTACCTGCAATGCGTGTTGGTGCTTATAACGAGGAAAATTGGTGCTTGATAGGTGAATACAGGAAATTAAAAGCCGACTGTTCGTTCCTAGATTCATTTTCAATTGCACGAACGGAGCTAGCCATAACAACAGAGGGATGGCTATTCTCTTATCAACTGCCAGAACCACACCCTCATTGTGGCTTAAATTTCCTTTCAGTAGCATGAAAGGAAAAGTGTTGGGACTTGATCTCCATTCCAATCGCATTAAAGGGGAGACATACCAGGAGCGACAAGGTTATTCCTTTTTCCACTGCCAGCATCACGCCCCGCTTGGTTGGTCTGAATGAGTATTGGTGCTTGGATCTAAGTTCAACTGTATGAAGAAAGAAGCATAGTGGATCAACAACAATCGTGTCGGTGAGTCATACCAGGAGCGACAAGGTTATTCTCTTCGCCACCGCCAGCCAGCACCGCTCCCTCCTTGGTCTGAATGCCCACGGCTAGTGATTGAGATAACATTGTTGGTGCTTTGACAATGCCATGCAAGCAGCGACATGCCTTGCCAACAACCATACCAGGAGCGGCGACGTTATTCTCTTCTCCACTGCCAGCACCACTCCCTCCTTGGTGTAAACGAGGATCGGTGCTTGTTTTCAATTCAGATCACATGAAAGAAGAGAAAGCCATACCAGCAACGGCGACGTTATTCTCTTCTCCACTGCCAACACCACTCCCTCCTCGGTGAGAACGAGTATCGGTGCTTGTTTTTTATTCAAATCACATGAAACAAGAGAAATTCATACCAGCAGCGGCGACGTTATTCTCTTCTCCACTGCCAACACCACTCCCTCCTTGGTCTGAATGCCTACTGCTGTTGACCCCAGCTGCATTTATGCAAGGCAATATGGCACAACAAACATATGACAAACATATGACAAACATATGACAATCATATGACAATCATATGACAATCATATGACAATCATATGCTGACATGTGACACTAGATAAGATGGCACGACACGCATGAGGTGACAATAATAAGGTGCCGGATCTGTTCTCAATAAGCATAGTCGAGTTTTGAGTCGACTCAAAACTAAACTAGAGGTGACAACAATAAGGTGCCGGATCTGTTCTCAATAAGCATACAGAATCTTGATTCTGGAAAGCACAAGTGTGAGCGTACCTTGATGGCCTCGATCGCGTACTCCACTTGGAACAGCCGCCCCTCGGGCGACATGGTATCGCCCTTGCTGCGTCGCTTCTGACGCAACATCAAGAGATTCTATTCCAAAGAGAACTAGTGTGGCGCGTACCTTGATGGCTTCGATGGCGTACTCCACTTGGAACAGCCGCCCCTCGGGCGAGAACGTGCTCACCCCCCGATCGTACTCGCTCCTGCCAGCCGTTACATCGGATTCGTACGCAGTTGAGTACGCGTACGGGTGTTAGTACACGTAAGCGTGCGCGTTATCAACTCAGGGTGGCCCTTTCAGAACGATGTGTCTTTTGAGGCCCGATCACCTCCGAGTCTATGAAATCCATCGTTGTCTGATCACTCAACTCTTCATAACTACCATCATAATTATAAAAAACAATAGGTAAGTAGTAACGTCGGAAGGACTAAGCGATTTCGGATCAGATTCTGAAAGGGGAATTCGAGCCAAATTCGAGGTCTGGATGATGGCTCGAGCTTAAGGTCGCATAACTGGCATGAATCTGGCTCAAATAACTCATATTGCGTCACGCGTGTAGTTTCAACAGAAAAACACATCAGATGCGTTGTTCATAGAGTCATGTCGTTGTTCATGCTTCATACAGATGCGTCCGCACCAGCTACGACCTGCGATGCAGGCGATTGTCGTGCATCAGTCGTGCTACTGTCGCACAAGCTTCAGACAGATGCGTCCGCGCGAACTACGACACGCTAGGGAAAATCGGAAAATCGTATATCGCAAGCACGGGAACTGCGAAGCAGGCAATTGTCGTCACTCATGTTCGCAATAGTCCGCGAAGTAACAATCACCTTCGATCGCAATATCTAAAAGCCGGATCCTGCGACAAAGAGAGATACGCGAGTATGGATCGAAATCGACCCAGATCAGGATTCTAACTCGAAATTAATCTGCAAGCCAGCTTGAATCCATGCCAGCGCCATGAAACAGAGCCGTTACCTCGTGAGAAACATCGCGGCGATGGGCCAGTGGAAGCTAACAAAAATAGGAGAATAGGTGAGCTGGGCTTTGAGGGAGACCGGACAGCGTATTGCTGAGAAGGAAATAGATCGACGTGAAGAAGCAACGGCTGCCAGAATGAGTGAGAGAAGGTAGAGAATTTCAAGAAATCATAGCGAATGTCACAAGGGGTGAAGGGATGAGGAGTAAGGGCGTGTCCAAATCTTCACAGCTCATATAATTCAGGAAGGTTCATAGGGTAACCGCGTCAAAACATGAAAACGGGAAGAATGCCTCGTTTTGTTTTTCTCAATTCGCGCGGAGGTGGATAACAGGTCACGATTGTAATTCGTTCTGCGAGGGAATGACGGATCGCCCTGGTTTCGGGTTTCCGATTCCTTTCGGCAGTGGTTTTGACACCGCCTTGCTTTGCGCTCGAGTCCGATACCTTCGGTCAGTTATTTACGCTATTGCCCCTTTTCGAGTCCAGAGACTAATATTGTGCTTATTTATCGGGATAGCATAAATTGAATTGTCGCGTCAATTACGAGAAGCTCGGGACAAAAAAAAATTTACCCCTCATGGAGGGCATGCCATTTGGGAGGCATCAACCCTAAACACCATGAGGCAAGGTGTTTAGGGTTGATGCCTCCCAAATGGCCAGCCATCCGAGAGGGGTTTATTTTTTCCACTGACCCCTAAACTAAAACCAGGTAATCGTCAGAATTTTCCTGGTCACAGGAAACTGGAAATGTCGAAATCAGCTGCCCCAAGGAATCGGACGCGAGCGGAGAAGCAAGGCGGCGTCAAAGCCACTGCCCAAAGGAATCGGAAACTTGAAACCAGGGCATTCCGTCATTTCCTCTCGTTCTGCTTCCGAAAAAGTTGCGAACTCTGGCGCCACATCCAGTCTTCCTGAGGCACCGAAAGCTTCTCGTTCACGGGGTTAACCAGAATTCCTCAGGTTCGCTGGTTTCGCATCCAGGAAATGCAGTCGTTCAAGAACAGGTTACCACAGGCGAGTTTTACCGATTCGCGAGTTCCTGGAAATTCGTTCGTCTGTGTACATGGAGAGTCCGTGTGGTGCCCCAAGGACCCTGTACTCATCTGGCTCGGACTTGATGATTCCCATCCGAACAGTCACGAAGTGTCAATACTTCAAATTACGCCTTCGGAGCTGTAGAAGGTGTAGTCAGCTTCGGAGCTTGTGCTTTTGTAGCGTAACTCGTGTCAGGATTTGCGGCGGCAAGTAGAGTTAGTCCCTTGCGGATAAGGCATCTCTAAAACCGGAACCCTCGATTCATTAGCTCTATTCAGGGTCAGCGGAGTATTCGCCTTAGTATCACTGAACGGCAACCTGATTCAGCTATCGGGAAAATCATTGTCCTTCAGCATTTCGCTCAACACCCGCTTCAGCAGCACCGGAGCTGCCTTGGAATGCGACCTGAACGACCAGAACGGCCAGGAAACCTTTGGTAGACACGTCACCAACTGAACTAGGGCAACGTTGACGGGATCGGGGGGGCCTGACGTCATCTGACGTGTTACTGACGTGATCTGACGGGGGACTGGCGTCATTCAACCCAGGACGAGCTTTGGATTGTCAGGAAATTGAGAGCGATGGATCCCGTTGTCATGGATTGCGGGTCAGGCACGTTTAAGGCTGGCTACGCTAATCCCGATGCGGACCCCCCTGTGGTGAGTTCATTTGAGGATTGAGGTCGAAACAAATGGCTCAAACGGGCAGGGATTGCGGGTCAGGCACGTTCAAGGCTGGTTACGCCAACCCTGATGCGGACTCCCCTGTGGTGAGTGTGTCTTGGTAGTTTTTACATGTCAGAATGGACTATTTGACACTGATGTCGCCAATCCTGATGCCGCCCCAGTGCGGTGAGTGCATCTTGAGGATTTCTGTTCAAAGACGTTCAAGGCTGGCTACGCCAACCCTGACGCCGAACCCCCTGTGGTGAGTATGTCTTGAAGATTGAGACTGAAACAACTGGATCGCACGGGCATGGATTGCAAGTAATGGACGTTCACAAATCGAGACCGACTTGATGTTGAATTTCATGGTGAACTGGTGGGTCGGAACGTGCCGGGGTGGATGTTCTAGGCCTCAAGGTTGAAGCTGACCCTCCTGTGTGCCCCTGTGTGCCCCTGTGTGCCTCTGTATGCCTCCAAATCCCTCCGAATCTATCTGTATGCCTCCATATGCCTCCATATGCCTCCATATGCCTCCGTATGCCTCTGTATGCCTCTGTATGCCTCTGTATGCCTCCGTATGCCTCTGTATGCCTCTGTATGTCTCTCTGTACCTCTGTATGCCCTTGTGTATCCATATGTATCCATACTCCAGATCATCCCAAATCGCTTCGTGGAAGCACCAGGAGAGCGCCCAGCCAGTAACGGGGCGAGCACTATCGAATCCGGGGCAGCAGCAGGGCGCGTGGTGGGGGGCGTGGAGCGGGGGCGGGTGGTGGACTGGGGGGTGATGGAGGATGCATGGCGGTACATGCTGTACGAACAGATGGGGTGGGAGGAGGGCGGTGAAGGGGCCGTGCTGCTGTGCGAGCCCATCCTCACCCCCCGAGTGAGTAGCAGCGTTCGGGTTAGTACAGGCTCTAGTCTAGCGGCACTGGCCAGCCTGGCAAGGCCTGGTCTGGGTTTGGATGGAAGGGGCCGTGCTGCTGTGCGAGCCCATTCTCACCCCCCGAGTGAGTCACGCTTGTGTGTGGATGGGATGGAGTTTTGAGGCATCTCAAAACTCAGTCCGGGATGCGTCTCCCCTCAGGAGGAGTCTTCTTTCTTACCCCACATGCAGGTCACATCACATCACACGTCCGAGTGAGATGTTTATTCCTTCACCTGCCGCAAACGTCCCTCCCTCTGCCCTGTTGTCCTTCGTTGTCCCTCTCGTCTCCCTTTTTACTCCTCATCTTGCCCCCCTACCTCCTCTCCCCAGGCCGACAGGGAGCAAGCAGCGCAGATCCTCTTTGAGTCGTTCAGCTGTTCGGGTTTCTTTGCAGCGGAGCAGCCAGTGCTGGCGCTCTATGCTCTCGGCCGCCTCTCCGGCTGCTGTGTCGACCTGGGCCACGGCAAGACAGGTCAGAGGGGATGCCTTATAACGGGGGAAAATGGCCTTATAACGGGGATGACTGGCGTAGAACGAGTTTCTTGCAGCAGAGCAGCCAGTGCTGGCACTCTATGCTCTCAGCCTACTTTCCGGCTGCTGTGTCGACCTGGGCTATGGAAAAACAGGTCAGTGGGCGACGCGTTATAACGGGGATATCTCCTGTAAAACTCACTATGCTCTCGGCCGCCCCTCTGGCTGTTGTGTCAACCTGGGCCATGCCAAGACAGGTCAGAGGAGACGCCTTATAATGGTTCACTGTCTTATAGAGGGGATGATTACCTTCTAACGGGGATGATTGCTTTATGACTGCCTTATCACGAGGATGACTGCCTTGGAATGCGCTATGCTTCGGGACAGCTCTCTTACTGCTCGGTACTTCCTCCTCACTTCTCCCCACTTTCTTTTCTTGTTCTCCTTTCTTCGCCCTCACCTTTCTCCGACATTTCTTCATACCCTGCTCACACTTGTCACCCTTTTTCAGCCACTTGTCCACACGAGACTAACCAATACTTTTTATCTACTTTTCTTTCCTTATCCCTCCCCACCCAATTGTTCCATCCTTTCTTGTCCTGCTCCCCCCGCCCTCCCCCGCCTCTCCAGATTTTTCGGTCGTGCAGGAAGGAGCGTTGGTCCCCTCCTCTGCTCGCCGCTGGCCAATCGGCGGCTGCGATCTTTCAGAGCGAATCCAACGGCTAGTATTGGAGGAGAGGCAGAGTGGGGGAGGAGCAGGCGCGGGAGGGGGAGGGGAGGGGGATGCACTGTCACGTGGCAGTCTTTCATTGGATGCTGCTACGTTGGAGAGACTGAAGGAGGACGCTTGTGAGGTGGCTTTGGATGAAAATAGTTTCGCAGCTGCCCGGGCTGCGGACGAGCGGAATGAGTTTGTGCTGCCCGATGGGCAGGTTAGTTTTTTTTTTTTCTCTCTCTCTCTCTCTCTCTCAAATGGTCCTTTGTATTAATTCAGCGGGGGTACAGACATACAGTTTGACTCGTGAGTCCCTTAGACCCTCTGACCCATTAACCCATCCCTCTGACCCTCCTCCCCCCTGAGTGACCCTCTACCCCTCCAGCGTGTGGAGGATGTCCCCTAGGTGCAGCGGCCATGGGTCCGCTGCCATCTGGGGGTGCGCCGCCTCGATCCCCGCCCTGGCCTTGGTGTGCACGGCGTTCGCCTGGGAGCGCTGGAGGGCCACTGACCAGCGCTGGCTGAAGTGGCAGGCCATCTTCTTGGCGGATTTCGCCAAAGGGTTGGCCCTGAAGCGGTTCCTAGCTGCTGCTGTGGCCAACAGCTTTAGGAACGCCATCGTGGGGGGCGCGTTTGCCCCGTAGGTCTTGCACACGACCTGACCTTGCATACCCTCTCAGCCTTCTGGCTCGCTACGTGGCTCCCGGTCGACACCGAAAGGTGCATTGGGATGCTGCAAAGAGGGTGTTGCGCTACCTGTGCAGTACGTCGGGCATGGGGCTCGTGCTTGGAGGACGGGCTCGAGTTGTCCTCACTGGTCACGCAGACGCTTCCTGGGTTGACGACTTGGCTACGCAGCGGTCGTCACAGGGTTACACCTTCAGCCTTGGTTCCGGTTCTGTTTCTTGGCGGTCTACCCGCTCTTCTTCTGTTCTCAGCTCCAGTTGTGAGGTTGAGATCTACGCTGGGGCCATGGCTGCACAGGAGTTACGCTGGCTCACCTACCTGCTGACTGACTTGGGAGAGGCGCCTCGTTCTCCTCGAGTTCTGTACGTCGACAACAAGGCCATGCTGGCCTTGTGTCAAGAGCACAGAATGGAGCACAGAACGAAACACATTGCTCTGCGCTACTTCCTTGCTCGAGAGCTGTAGCAGCGTGGCCAGCTTCGTCTCGCTTACGTGGCCTCATAGGCCAACACTGCTGATGTGTTCACCAAGGCACTTCAGCCTTGTGATCATCAGCGTTTCTGTACTGTTCTAGGCCTTGTACCTACTGTGCCTCGCTTACTTCTTGACTCTGCTTGTACTGTACTCTATATACATATACCTGCATGCTTACACTTGCTAGGTTGTGTTCACTCTATTGTTTGTTTTCCTTTATATAACTCTGCATGTGAACTGGCCTTGTGACCATTTGCTTGTGCTCAGACTGCGTGGTGACTTTGTGATCCACCCTGAGCTTGCTTTGCCTTTCTTGACTGGTCTTGTGACCTCTTGTTCTCCCCCACTTTGCCTATGGGGGTGTGTCAAACTTATACGCTATAGTCTGTTTAGGCTGTAGTGGGGTAGTTCTTATAGGGTACAACACTTTTAGGTTTGCTACTTGTACCCACCTGCTTCCTAGTTCAATCACTCGTTCGTTTCAGATTGTAACACTCTATAGTGAGTACGGCCCCTTAGGGTTTCCTATATGTATCCACCTGCTTGCTAGTGCAATCCCTCCTTTGCCTATTTTCTCTTACCTAGCTAGCTAAACCCTAGCTATGGCTCCTCATTCCTCGTACTATTCTCACAGCCGGGGCCTAAGGGGCGCGACGGGCCTAAGGGGCACGACGGGCCAAGGGGCCGGGGCCTAAGGGGCGCGACGGGCCAAGGGGCCGGGGCCTAAGGGGCGCGACGGGCCAAGGGGCCGGGGCCTAAGGGGCGCGACAGGCCAAGGGGCCGGGGCCGAAGGGGCGCGACGGACCTAAGGGGCGCGACGGGCCTAAGGGGCACGACGGGCCAAGGGGCCGGGGCCTAAGGGGCGCGACGGGCCTAAGGGGCGCGACGGGCCAAGGGGCTACTCGCAGGGCAGCAGGTGGTGGGCCCAAGGAAAGAAAGGCGGTCCTAGCGAGGGACCTGCTCTGAAACCATGTTGAAAGTAATAAACGAGAATGAATGAACTATGAAAGAGTTGGGTACAAGTACTAACCCTAATTGGGTTGTACCCCTTATGGGCTACCCCACTATAGCCTACACAAATGTAAAAGCTATAATGTTCTGACAGAAGCTTTTATTGGAATAACGTGTGTGTTATTCGTCGTAATGATGATTGGACGCACGGCGATGGTTTGCATTTTCTCCCCTCCGCCAACTTTGCTCGGCAAATCAAGCTTTCATCTCCGCAATGGCGGCATCGCCGATTCCGCGGTTTCCTTCGCGTGGTTCGGAGAAGCAAGAACCGTCAATGTAGGCATTGAGGGAAACGGACAGACCGACATCAGCGGCTTTACTGACGCCGTCAGATTCGGCAAAGCTGCTTCCGCCGGCTACGGAAGCGACATGGCTCGCGACGGCGGCTTGTGCATCGCCATCCCGTCCTCCCCACGGGTCCCTCGCCGCGATACGCCGCCTCAAAGCTCAGAATCTCAACCGTCGGATGATGATCGCACGGTGGACGAAGCAGCACGCTCTGCTGATCGTGTGGTAGAGCTTTTGAAGGCGCTGGACGAGCAGAGAGCGAAGGGGCATTTGAAAGAGGGGGAAGTGAAAATCGTCGTGTACAGTGCCAGGTGCAAAGCTGATAAACTTCCATTTGGCGGCAGCTAGTAGTAACGTGGATGAGAGCATTGACGGGACCGACAGTAGCAGTGCCGCGGAAGGAAGGTCGTACTTCAGGAGGTTGATTCGGCAAGGCTGGAGCGAAAAATAATTCAGAATACTGGATCACATAGTGAGTACATACGCACAAGAAGCCAATGTTACCAGTGACTATGCCAGATCTCTCCTTGAAGCCATTCATTCTTCCTCGTCCATGAATTACCTGGTTGAGCCGCACTCACGCTCCATCCGCGAAGCTTCCGCCAATCTCAGCATCCTTGTCCATGTCATCACAGCCAATCAAGCGTCTTGTGACCTTCTGAACGATCCAGATCAGCTGCTTAGGACTGTGCCACCCCAGCATGTGGAGAAGGACGGGTGGCAGTGTCAAACTCATACACTATAGTCTGTGTAGGCTGTAGTGGGGTAGCTTATATGGGGTACAACACTTTAGGGTTTGGTACTTGTACTTCTCATGCTGCTCAGTTCAATCATTCCTCGTTTCATTTTCACATGGTTTCAGAGCAGGTTCCCTAGTGGGAACGCTCTCTAGGGCCCACCTCGATATTTTTTTTCCTGCCCGGAGCGCGCTTCGCCCCTGCCCGAGTCGCGCCCCGAGTGCCCTCCCTACCGTCGCGCCGCCCTTAGCGGCCCCTTGAGCCGCCCTTACGGCCCCGCGCGCCACCCTTACGGCCCCTCGTGCCGCCCGTCGACCCCGCGCGCCGCCCTTGCGGCCCCTCGCGCGCCTCTCGTCGGCCCCGCGCGCCGCCCTTGCGGCCCCTCACGCCTCTCGTCGGCCCCGCGCGCCGCCCTTGCGGCCCCTCGCGCCGCTCCTCGGCCCCGCCGCCGCCCTTGCGGCCCCTCGCGCCGCCCTTAGCGGCCCCTTACGGCCCCTCACGCGGCCCCTTACGCCCCCCCCCTTTTTGCGGCCCGCCGTCGCCCACTACAGCAGCGGCCGCCGCCTTCCCTGGAGCAGCGGCCGCCGCCGTCGTCCCTTCAGCAGCGGCCGCCGCAGTCTCTGCAGCAGCAGTCGCCGCCGTCGTCCCTGCAGCAGCAGCTGCCACTGTCCCTGCAGCAACCGAGCCGCCGCTCCCGCCGACCCGCCCGAGCCGCCCGAACCGCCGAGCCGCCCGAGCCGCCCGAGCCGCCCGAGCCGCCGAGCCGCCCGAGCCGCCCGAGCCGCCGAGCCGCCCGAGCCGCCCGAGCCGCCGAGCTGCTGTTGCTGCCGTGCCGCCGAGCCGCCGAGCCGTCCGAGCCTCCCTGTCCGCTACACCCGGTCACTGCCGTCGCGGCCCTGTTCCTGCCGGCGAGCCTCGGTCCTTCTCGCCTGCCCGGTAAGAGCAGCACCTCTACCACTGCACTGCCCTTAGCCTACTGCTCGCGCTGCTAGTCTACTGCTGTCATGGCTACCCCCAGTGTCCTCGCTTTTGACGCTGAGGGTCGGGCCATTGACTTTGACGTCTGGGTAGATGACCTGCAGCTTTTCCTACAGTGCGATAGGGCAGACGGTCTCTCCCTCTTTGACCTCACTTCTGGTGCCTCTCCTACCCCTGCTGCTGATGCTGACGCCACTGTTCGCTCACAGTGGGCCACACGCGATGCTGCTGCACGTCTTGCTGTGCGTCGCCACTTGCCTACCTCTGAGCGTGCACACTTTAGCCAGTACAAGAGTGCTAGGACCTTGTACGACGCTGTAGTTGCACGCTACTCTTCCCCTGCCACTGCTGCACTTAGCCGCCTCATCCTGCCGTACCTCTTCCCTGACCTCGCAGCTTTTCCCACAGTCGCTGACCTCATTACGCACCTTTGCACTAGTGACATTCGCTACCGCGCTGCCCTTCCCGCTGAGTTCGCGCCAAGAACCCCCCCCCTATGTACATCACCCTCTACTACATAGTCACCTTGCTCCCTGACACCCTTCGCCCGGTCAGAGACAACTTTCTCTCTGTTTGCCCCACCACCCTCACCGTTGATCTCCTCGAGGAGCGCCTCCTAGCGGCAGAGAAGAGCATAGTCGCTATAGGAGCCTCTCGTGGTGACCCTCGTGCCCCTGTCTTTGAGGGGTGCTCCCCCTCTCCCCTCTTGCCCTCTGTTGCCTCTGCTGCTGCGGCCGACCTCGTTGGTCTTGAGTCGATCGGTGCGGCGTCTGCCCCTAGCGGGAGACGCCGCATTGGCAAGGGCAAGGGGGGCAAGGGAGCTGGAGGAGCTAGCGAGGGCGGTGGCGGCGGCGGTGGAGGCGGTGGAGGGGGTGGGGGTGGCGGTGGGGGTGGTGGTGGGGGTGGGGGCGTCAGTGGCGGCAGTGGAGGCGGCGGCGGCGGTGGCGGTGGGAGCGGAGGTGGCGGAGGTGGCGGCGGTGGAGGAGGTAGCGGCGGAGGAGGTGGAGCTGGTCGGGGTGGCGCTGCGCAGAGGGTCGGCTCCGGTGGTGGTCCGCGCCAGCAGCAGCAGCAGCAGCAGCGCACCCGTGAGATCCCTCCCCCTCAGCAGCTTCGTGAGTGGTACGCTGCACGTCAGCGAGGTGGGGGTGCTGGTCCGTGTACCTACGTCCTGCGCACCGGCGACCGCGCGGGTGAGCCGTGCGGGGGTTCGCACTCCACCCAGCGCTGCTTT